ACAGAGCTGGAAAGGTACCTCGGAGGTCATCTAGTCCAACCCCCTGCTCGACTTCTTTCGAGACTTTTTTCTTATTTCTGCATAGGAACCCCAACATTTTTGAGACCTTGGCCAGGAAGGAAAGCTGGATTGAAGCCTACAGATTGAAAGAACCATCTTAAAAAAGAAAATAAATCTGATTTTCATCCGCAACAAACCGCCGTTCGGTTTCGCGCGACGATTTGCGCCTTGGGCTTTGCTGGGGAATAAAAATAAAAAAATACAGGAACGCCACGTTCTTTTTTTTTTCCGCTTGGCAGCTGAATTTCCAAACGTGGAAAAAATGAACGCCCCGTTCTCTTCTTTTTTTCCCCACCCCTTTAATCATCTCTCTTCTTTCCTTTCCTGTCCGGTGTCAACGGAGGCCAATTTTCCTGTGGCAAAAAATAAAAAATAAAATAAAATAAAATAAAAAAAACCAGAAAGCTTTAGGGGGTCAGGCCATCCCCTCCCTCAAATCCGTTCTGCATTTTGGAAAGTTTCGCAACACAATCGTGTGTTCATTCCATCCTGAACGCCCGCTGGCGTACAAATAAATCATTTTTTTTTTAAAAAAAAAGAAGAAGTAAGGCTGAAACATCCAGAGCAAACTGTGGGAAACAGGATCCACTCCCTGGGATGACAGGAGGAGGAGGAAAAGGAGGAGGAGGAGGAGGAGGAGGAGGAGGAGGAGGAGGAAGAAGGACTGTGGGGTCCTTGGTGCTCTCTGAGCTGGGTGGTTTTCGTTGCAGACATCTCATGACCCAACTAGGGAACATCATCAGGGCTAGAAGGAAGGTGGGGTTGCAGGGAGGAGGAGGAGGAGGAGGAGGAGGAGGAGGAGGAGGAGGAGAGAAGGGTCTCCTGCTTGAGCAAGGGGGGTTGGACTAGATGACCTCCCAGGCCCCTTCCAACTCTGTTATTCCGTGATTCTGTAAGGGTCTCCTGCTTGAGCAAGGGGCTGGACTAGATGACCCGCAAGGTCCCTTCCAACTCTATTCTTCTGCTATTCGGAGGAGGAGAAGGAGGAGGAGGAGGAGGAGGGAAGGGGGTTGAGCAGGGGGTTGAACTAGATGACCTCCCAGGCCCCTTCCAACTCTTGTTATTCCGTGATTCTGTACGGGTCTCCTGCTTGAGCAGGGGGCTGGACTAGATGACCCGCAAGGTCCCTTCCAACTCTATTCTTCTGCTATTCGGAGGAGGAAAAGGAGGAGGAGGAGGGAAGGGGGTTGAGCAGGGGGGTTGAACTAGATGACCTCCCAGGCCCCTTCCAACTCTTGTTATTCCGTGATTCTGTTAAGGGTCTCCTGCTTGAGCAAGGGGGGGTTGGTCTAGATGACCTCCCGGGTCCCTTCCAACTCTCGTGCTTCCGTTCTTCTGAAATTCTATTTCCAGCCTCTTAAAAAAACCTTCTCGGAAGCCCTGAGGGGGAAGGCCGACGACTCACCCAAGCTCTACGGCTTATTTTATTTATTTTATTCTCCCCCCAAATTCTCTTTTAGCCCCAGTCAATGGGAGCTGTCAAATTCCATTTATCGTCATGTCAATCTTTCAAAAATTCTCGGCCTCGCCCGTCTCGGCTTCAAGGCCTTTTTTGTTTTTTGCACCCCTCGGCGAGCTTGAATCAGCCGCCCAATTTTGCCCAATTAAGGAGATTTGAGTGTTTGCAAAAAAAAAAAAAAAAAAAAACCCACAAAAAACGAGTCCTAACCGGTTGCTACACGCCTAACACACGGATGTGCCACGGATCCGCCACGTGGCTAAAATAGGACGAAGGGCATCACCTTGAAGGCTCAGCCCAGGATAAATGAGCTTTTCCAAGGCGTGTTTGCGGGCGGGCCTCGGGAAAAGCAAAATATTTATCTCAAGGCCCTAAAATTGGCTGCAAAATTCTTCTTTTTTTCCATTTATATATATATTTATTTCATATATATATATATATTCATATATATATATGAAATTTAGCACGGATGCGTCCCTGTTTTTTTTTTTTAACATGGGCCCAACGGAAACTACAATCGGTTTTCTTTCTACCTCCCTTCCCAAATTAATTTCAAATTCATCGGAAGGATGAATCAATCAATTATTGCTTTTTAATCTTCCCTTCTCTTCCTCTCAAGTTCCCCCTGAGCTTCGCTCTTAGGAAAAATGAGTGTTTTAAAAGTATTTAAGTATTTCCCCAAACACTAGTTAAACAGCTGTTTAACCGATTTACAAACACTAGTTAAACCACTGTTTAACCGATTTCCGCAAACCCTAGTTAAACCGCTGTTTAACCGATTTACAAACCCTAGTTAAACCGCTGTTTAACAGATTTACAAACACTAAACAGTTGTTTAACCAATTTCCACAAACACTAGTTAAATCAGTTTAACCGATTTCCACAAACACTAGTT